ATTCTGACCATTTTATCTCACATTGAAGATTGATGAGATCAAGCTTGCAAAGATTGATTTAGACTACTTGCATCATTGTCCTTTAAGCCATAGTTATTCTTCTATTACATCTCTAATTTCCTATCAATTATTTTCTATTTACAAAAAACTACTCCAAGTATTTGACTTCATTTACCAATTATTCACTCTTTTTTTTAAAACTAAATATTTTACCACTCTTATCTATTACTTTATAAATTCTAGTAATATCTATAATTGGTGAGAATGTTTTGCTCTTTTTACCTATAACATAATAGGGCTACTTATCTATTCTTGTTGATGATAATACACTTATTTTAACTTAACAAAGACTACTTCAATGGTCCTTTCAAAAAGATAGATCTCATCCAAGATTTACCTCTCCTTATCAATTTAGTCATTCATCACTCAAACAATATTTTAACTCTTCCAATCCAAATTTAAATCCTTTGACTCTATTCAACTACTTCATTAATCAAAGTTATTATTTAGACTGGAAAAAATCTATAGACTAATCCTATCTAAGAAGACTTGCTTGCTCCAAGTCATGACTTAGGTGCCTAAGAATCAAACTTTTATTTATTTACAAAACTCAAGAAATGCTTAAGGATTATTTAAGGTTCTTTACAAACATAACAAGAACTATATTCTTCTAATCTTTTGTTATTAATTAAAAATAAAATATTTATTCTTATTTTTCTCACTATAATATAATTTAAACATGAAAATTAGAAACAAAAAAATTAATAATAAAAATTTACTTTTAATTACACATAATTATTTTTAAAATTAAATAAATTCAAAAAAATGTTACTTTAAGATCTTTTAGAATTATGTGGAATGCCTCAACATATTTTTTTATACAGTCTTATAAATAAATCAAATAATTCATCTAAAATCTAAAAACATCTTATCATACAACAACCTATGGAAAAACAAACTACACATATTTTATTAATTGATGCCAATATATACATAACTTCAGTTCTAACATCCTATTAAATATAATTCTAAAAATATTTTTTAATTATATATTTATGAATTATAATACTATTAGCACACAAATAATAATGGAATTTTATTTCTTTACGATATTTGATGTCTTTTATACAATAAAGATGTTATAATCAAATTATTTAATATAATTTATACGAAATCATAATTTATTTTAATTTATTTTATATAATTTATTGTAATTATTTATTTTGTGTAATTGAGATATTACAATCTAGTTATATTTTATGATTATGATTTATTTGATGTCTTTTATACAATTATGATATTATAATATAAAAATATTTGATAAAATATAAATTCTTTAATTTATGTGATTAAAAATTTAAAAATTGAATACTATTCAAAAAATTAAAGTTTTAAAAATAATATATTACAATTAAAATTAAAATTATTTATTTATATCTTCTATATATATATGTATATGTATTACTATAAATAAAAACTTGCCAAATTGTGATACACAATAACACCTCACAAGAAAAGCACAAAAACTCAATGGGTTTAAACTGAAAACCACAATAATACCACAGAATTTTACACTAAAGGCATTAAATATGACAAAATCACCACATGTTACCTTAAATTCTACACAACCCACAAGAGCTGGTCAAACACTTAACAAAGTATTATGTGGTATCAAAAAGTGTTTCTGCATGCTCCACCTTTTGGTACAGAAAATAGGACATGTAGCACTGCAAAGTGAAGGGTTTAAGGATTATTTTTACTAAATTTTAGATAAAAAATCGTAGTATACAATTATTATTATATTTGTGTTTTATATTTATTTATATATCAAATATCAATTTAAAATCCAATAATATTTATTTGCATTTTTTTTTTCTAAATTAAAATGGTTTTGCCACCGTAGCCTATTTTATGCCATGATTGAAGAATAAATAAAAGAACCTTGTACTATCTTTCTATTTTTATTAATTTTAAGCTTTATTTGTAATATATATATATATATATATATATATATATATTACATATATGAATATAAAGGATTATTTCTATGCATAAAAGAGTGGATCAAATTTTTCTATTTTTCATTTTTCTACTGCAATAAGTTGAAATTTTATTTTCATACTGGATTTATGCAATACTATACAATTGGAAGTTAATCAACATATCAAGTGTAAGTTATAAAATGCCATAGGGTGTTACAAATAATAATTTATAATATTTTAAACTTTGTAAAGAAGATTCATATCTAAAGATCTTTTTTTTTTTTTTTTAAATCTCTTAAGATTTTTTGGATTATAGAAATCAACAACTAGTGCAGTAGAATACCTTCCTTGTCTTCTTTTAAATATGTATATATGTATGACTTAATTTGATCAAAAAAAACTGAACAAGCATTCACTTTGAGGAATTTCACTAGATTCACGTGCAAACAAAAAAGATATTACTCAAAAAAGAAATAAAAAAAAAAAAAAAAAAAAAAACCATAGAAATACACTTTAAAAACTATTTCATCAATATATTTAATTAAACAAATCAACCTTGAAATCCAAGGGATATCCCAAAAGACCAACAAGTCATTCCTTCCACCAAACCAACGACCATATTGATGTATCAATAGACACCCAAGCTCACACCAAACTCCCCTCCCAACATGAAATAAATAAATAAATAATTAAAGAGGCTTTGGAACAAACGCTGAGTGCGGGTTGTTCCTCACTCCCTCCCCTTCCTCGTTCTTCCCTTCATCCGTTCCTTCCTCTGTTCGTTTCATCATTAATTCATCAAATCGCTCATACGCTCGTTACACCGTTCGTCACCTCATTCGTTCATTGGTATGTTCGTTCGTTACATCTTTCGTCACATCGTTCGTTCGTTCCTTCGTTCGTTTCCTTCCTGCGGGCAGGGGGTCTGCGCTGTTGGAGGTCAGAAGCGCCATAGCTATGGTGCCAGGGAGGGAGGGGAAGAAAGGAAAGGGAAGGAAAAAGAGGGGAAAAAGGAGGAGGAGGGGAAGTGGGTTATGGCAGCAGCGGCAGCGGCAGAAGAAGAAGCAGAAGAAGAATCAGCGATGGGGGTGGGTGGGTACAAACACAGGGAGGGGGGCAGGAGGAGCAGAGGAGCACAGAGAGAGGAGCGCAGCCGAGTGGTGGAATCATCTCCCCACCTCACTCACTCACTCACTCGTCTCTGCCTTGTCCGGATATCTCTGTCTGTCTGTATCTGAATGAAGACCTGCCTGACCTTCCAATTCCAGGGTTAGATCTTTTCCAAGGACAACCTACCTCCACAGCAAGCAGAACGAAGTATAGGAATGCAGGCAGGCAGGCAGGCAGCTAGGCACGGGAAAGCACAGCACTGGTAGTAGTAGCAGTAGCATCAGCACCAGCATCACCATTTTTGTTTTACTTTCCCTACAGTTCCAGAAGGTCCTGTCGCTTGCACTTTCTTTACCTTGTTCCCCAGCCTCCAGAGCTTCCTTGGGATTCCTCTTGTGGTCTGAAACCATCCCCCCCACCCTCTCAATTATATCTATATATTAGTACGGCGGCATGGAATCCCTGAGCTCCTAAACCTCTCAATTATATCTATATTAGTACGGCGGCATGGAATCCCTGAGCTCCTAAATCCGGGCCATCCCCTACAGAAACCATAAAGAAGGAGCCCCTTGTCTCCGGAAAAGTCAGACCCTTCTAATCGAGTAAATGTACCCATTTCCACAACTGTAGATGATTGTTTCTTTCCTTGTTGTCTTGCTTTGTCATATATATATATATATATATATTTATTTATATTCATACTGTCTTCATTATTAGTAATAGAAGCAGCATTTCCACGCATAATCCGACCGATCAACCGATCCGACAACTGTCCCGCCTCGGTGCGTTTCGTGAGTTCTTTTCTACTAGGCCTAAATTGTTGCCTTAATTTCTGTAGCTGACTGTCAACCATGAGCCTCAAGGATTTTCCATGTTCATGTTCGCCCTTCGTCTGCTTCAATTCCTCCACTTCATTGCATGAACCACATGAGGAACTGGTCATGGGAGACAAAATTAAAACAGAAACAAATGTTACTTCATCTTCTTCTGCTCCCAATTTTTATTTTGATTTCATATTATAATTTTTTTGTTTTAGAAAACTTGAAGAGAAAGTGAACGATTGGGGAGATGTAATTAAGAGGAGCATTCAGGTACCAATCAATGCCCAGCTAATGAACGAGGCAATGGATGCGTCGCTATAGGTCACCCTAGTTTAGAGAACCTTCATAAATCCTGCTATGCAATCCCCCTGACCACATTCCTACGGAAGCCTAAACCACGATGTGACAAACATACAACAGCTGGCTGCACACAAGCTGCACACAAGCTGCACACAAGAAGACAAACATTCGCTCTTTCCATTAATTACCGAACACTCACAGCTGGCAAGATTTGATTGCTTGATCTTGTCTCGATGTGCTAGATACCCTGTGCAGTGTAGACAAACATGTAGCTGCTGTTAATGCGTTTGTTTCTCCATTTTAAACGACAGTTGCCACACCTTCCAAGCACAAGGTTCATGAACTTCTAGTACCTGATCACAACCAACAACCTTTCTGTGCAAATAGGTTAGAAGGACCCATTTCTGGTGCGATGTGAGAGATATCAATGTAATCACTAGTGATTGTGAAATGTTCGTTTTCAAGATCGATTTGCTTCAATCTCCACGATTTGAAACCTCATAATGACCCCTTTGCAGTAAGATCAACTTCGATTTACTCCCAAACAGGTTACTGACCAACTGTGTTAATATTCATTCCTTCGATTGGTAGAAATGCAGGGCTAGTGGGGCCCAGCATTTTGTGCTGTTGCTAGATAATCCCTAAGAGTTTTTGTTAATCATACAAGCCCAAAAATATTGGACATATTTTTCTCTGTCACCGTCATCTAGAACGAGCTCACCTAAATCGACTGACATGTATCTTCAACAAGACACCTGAAGGAGATTAACCCCCTCCCCCAATGTTAAAAGTTTAACTAGAGTGATAAAGGATTTCATTTGCATATTGATGCAATGAGTGGTATGATATTTGTTCGCACTATGATACAACAAAGAATATTTTCATACCCCCACCCCCCTGTACAAAATGTAGCAGCAGTATAGTCCACATCCCTATTCTGCAAATTGCTTCTGGTGAGATGCCTGGTTGTCTTCTAATTTACAACTTACAAAAGCCCTAATTAGCTCAAGAGGTGTCTTCTATACCAGAAGAGAACTATTATAACGTGTCCTTTACTTTGCTTCGCACCATTCAGCTTCAAAAGAAAAAAGAAAAAAAGGAAAGAAAAGAACAGAACTACAGTGCCAGCTTCAGATTTAGATCCAAGAAGTCTCGCTTCTCTTCCCTCCCGGTTAGCTTGAGGCAGACTTCTGACACATTGCTTGATGAGGTGGAGGTGAACCTGCAGCTGAGGCCCACAGCACTGAAGAAACTGGTGTCTGTGCAAGGGGAATGGATGCCGTCTGTGACAGAGGGAGCACTCTCCTGAAATCGGTGGTACACAACTAGTGAACAACTCATTATCTCCATCAACAAGCTTAGTTCTACATTAGCTGAAAACTCCCGAAGGCTTGCCACTATGCGAATCCCAAGGTCTGGATATGCAACTCAAACGAAATGGCGTGCCCAGTAGTACGCATTATGTTTGCCTAAACACGAATCTCGAAATCCCTCTCGGACATTCTTAATGAAGGCAAAATTATGAAACGTGCAAAACAAATAAATAAATAAATAAGACCTGAATGCCGGGAACTTTACCTCGCGATGATTGAACATCTGAAGCTGAAGAGCATCATCTTGAAAGTTCTTTATCCGCTTCACTTGATGACTATCTTCATGATTCATAGATTCTTTACTGTTCACTTCAACTCCAAGTTGCGGACTGATGGGGTATGAGCGCGTGGAAATCCCCAGAGTAAGAAAGTCACCAGATGTCTCATGATCGGCTTCCATCAGCATTGGAACTTCAGAACTTGACAGGCATCTCTGTCTGGTAATAGGCGACTCACACGGAGAACACACACTCGAGCAGCAATCCTTGATCTTGGATTTAGTTGGGCAGCTGACTTTCAGGAAAGATTCTACGGAATGATAGTCTACATCCGTAGTTGTACTTAAGTTTTGGGCTTCATTTTCTTGCAGAGCTGCACACGCTTTATCCTTCAGAAGAGGTAAGGTGTTATCAAGGCCACTCCTGCAATATATAAAGAAGTAATAATCAGCAATCCCGATGATCACTACTGTTGATGCACTTGACTATAATCGAAAAAGATGTCCACAAAGAATCTTGAAATCTAAAAAGACCAGAAAGTAGTTCATCTACTCTCTTATTGAGAAATTTGACCCATGAGCAATTACCAAGCTGAAAGTCAATGCAGAAGTGCAAAAGTAGGGTATACATGCCACAAACAATCCCAGAATAAACTGTAGTGAATCCAAAGCTAGGGCACACGAACTTCATGGCAAAAAACTATACCCAGTAATTCCAGCTGTGTGGTGTATTCCCGCTGTACTCTCGTGACCTTGGGACAGACTGGCATAACAACCACTCTGAACAGCCTCAACTTTTCCGACGGGCGCATTCAGATCCAGACCCTCAGAGTGCATCGATTTGCTGGTGTTCTCATTGAGATCGTACCATGGTCGCTTTTGCCCACATATCTGAGTTCATCACACAACGCACGTCGAGTACTCGTCAGACACAATATCATGATGATCAATGAAGAAAATTCGTTGATTCATTCTCAATACGATGTAATTTATCGAATTCCTGAAAACTTCGCACGCTTTGCAATTGACCGTTCTCAACTATTCTTTTGACGTTAAAAGGGAAGCAAAAAATCAAAAAAATCAAAAAACTGTGTTGACACGTGACAAACCTTCTCGGAAGCAGACCATGTATTATTGCTTGAAAAGCTTTGGAAAGAAGAGAGCTCCTTCGGTCGGCCACAATTTGTAACCACGCCAGCCTGCGTAAACAGGCGTAACACCCGTCAAAATCCCCAAATCGTATTCATAATTCATGACACTACTAGTGTTTTCACTGTCCTCAGATGCCGAGTGATTGGGATAACGTAGAAAGTTCTCATACAATAACACAAACAATGCCACACTCAATTCCTCAAAGAATGCTGTAGAACAGTACTCCAGCAAAACCACAGTTCCACGCATCAGATTGACTAGATATTGCACTGAGAAGGATGGGGTAGGCACCACTGGTACTTCAGCACGATCCTGTGGAAGGCGGCGTAATTTGGCAGGACCTGAAGAGGATTCAAAACACTGTAGATTGTTCGAAGTAAAGAGCGACACTGCACCATTCTTTCCAACTGCTGGAAAGAGCTTAGCATCAACCATCCCAGCATCGCCAACACCATTGCTGGTGACTTGGAACATGTAGACGGACTCCCTGTCCATCTCTGATAGACGCTGTTTCCCCTGCTCCGCATTTGATGCGAGACTATCAACTAGGTTGACCCCTGTCGTAAGTGCATTGGAAAGTAAGGAGGACTTGGCTGTAGAACTCGGAGGGGAACCATGACAACCCTGGACGCATGGAGGAAACTTGCCAGACGAACCCTCCGCATAAGCACTGGTGCCACAAGATCCTAGACCTCTACTTCCCGGTCTCTCAGACAAAGAGGATAAGGAGGATAGGCTAGGAACGGTTCGCATAGAATTGCACCCATATGAATGCTCCCTGATTTCCCGATTCCGAGAGAATATGAGGGCTATAGACTGACCACCTTGGGCATGGCGAGCAAATGTTCCCGCGGTCGAGTGGTCACTATTAGCAAACGACATAATAGACTGAAACCCCTCTCCATCAACGGCGACTTTGCCGAGCTGATGGCCGTCTTCGGCGAGATAATGCAACTTTTCGGAGGGTCCAGTTCGGCCATTGTTAAAGGAGAGGGCACTGCTGAGACCTGGCTGCTGGTGCGATACAGTGCCACTTTTCAAGGGAAGAACGCAGATACCTCCATTATGATCAGTGAAGCTGAAGGACGGCAGTACTTGAATTGATGCAAGACACGCTGCTTCTTGCTTACTCTGTTCCTGCAACCTGAGCCTCTCCAGCTGCGCGACACCCAACCCCCTCTGCGGCGGCTTTTTCTGTGCATTCTTAACCTTTCTTCCCCTACTGCGCCCCTCGGATGACACCTTATGCGGTCCCTCTTGCTCAAAGTGACCAGGCACCTTCTCCTGTTGCAGCCGCACCTGCTCTCTACTTGCCATTGTCAACTTCTCAACGGCGGCCACCTCCGACGAACGCATCAAAAGAGTAGCCATCACCTCTTATCACTCTAACTATCCTTCCACTGTACTAATCCAACGCCGCTCAAACCAACCCACCACCCCCCGCGACTCCCCCAATCGAAACCCAAACTCACTAAACACCTCCCCCGTTCAAGTCGTCCCATCCCGCGCCACCTCCACGAGAAAAATCCAACACCCAAGAGCCAAATTCCTCATACTTCCCAACCCTCGGCACATCATCCCCGACCCACCCGTCGCCACCCACATGCCCACCGCTGCCAGCAACAAATCTACCCCGGGTTAGCAATGCTCCAAACGAACGTGTCCTCGAGAAACACAGCGTCTGACCTCCAATTGGGTCTCATCAGATCAGCCTACCAACTCCCACACTGATTTGAATCCCTTATCTCTCTCTCTCCCTCTCACTCCCTCCCCCTCTCCCTCTCCCTTCCTCACACACTCTCTCCCTCTCTCGCACGCGCTCTCTCAATCTCATCCAATCCAACAACAACAACAACAACAACCACGACACTGCATCAAAAAACCTTCAAAGAAAACCTCAAATGCTCGATAAAAATCCAGCGTGAACGGTTGCTAAGCCGGATTTGGTCTGCCAGCGAGATTCCTTGTGATCTAAGGGACACTAGAGTGTGAGACGACAAGTGAAGAGGTCAAGGGCGGGCGAGGCGAGGACGAGGGGAGGGAGAGCCGCGGGGGGAGTGTGCCCGCCTCACTGGGCCCACCCCTGTTTTTACACCCCCCCCCCCCCCCCAATGGCCATGGCCGGCAGCAGCAGCAGCAGGGTCTCCCCCCTTCTCTTCCTTGTCCGGGCCGGGTTGGGCCAGGTCGGGTCGGGCCAGGATTCCGCCTCGGTCCCGTGGTCTAGCCATCCCCGCCCGTCAGCAGCGCCCGAGCTTCGGATATCTTTTACGCTGGAGGGCTGGTTTCTTTTGCAATGCGAGGGTGGGGAAAGATGCCCCATGCTGCTGCTACTGCTGCCCAGTGTCACCCATGGCCGTGGGAGGATGTTCCGTGGGTCCCCGAGGAGCCCCCGCCTTAATTAGGAGGCCAATTTAATTCCTTCGTGTGAAGGGGAGGTATACATAATTTTACCTGGTCTCTGAAAAAGCTGTTTCTTATGTCGTGGTTAGGACTGTAAAGGAAATCGATTTTTATAACTAAATTATATATATTCCCCACTAAATGGGCATCGACATCTAACAAAACCAATCAAACATATTATTAATTATTTAAGGTTTTTATGATTACGTCGAGTTACTTTAATTATTGTACTGGTGAATGTTTACTAATAATTGGATGAATTTAAAAATACTACTTTTTCTATAAAAATTGTGAACCAGTAAAAATATTAGTAAGCAAACAAGCCCTTAAAATAGCGTTAAAATTACCACAACACAATGTCTGTAGGCACCAAATTAAATTTGAGATTTACTAATGTTTTCTTTTTTAAAAATATATCTTACAGTTCATTCCGTAATACTTTTAGTTCTGTAAGTGATTAGTCATTAATTTTCAACATGCTGTGAAATTTACGATTTCAATAAAAAAAAATTAAAAACAATAAAATGAAATCATATTGTTTTGTATTATGCAAAACTGTAATGTAAATTTTATTATTTACTTTAGCCACATGCCAATTTACCTATCAATTTCGGAAACAATAACAAATAAATAAAACAAAACGCTATGATTCAAGTTTTGTGCACGAGTTTAACTCATTCAGATTATAAATTGTCATAAAAAACTCTATATTGATATAATTATGGAGTAACTATAATTGTGTGTTATTTGGTTTCTGTAACGACTCAAACCTAACAACCGAATCAAATCGAATTTTGTTAATTTGTTTTTGTAGCACATCAATTGATGCAACAGTCAAAAAAAATTTAAACTGTAATATTTTTCGAAATCGAAACTTTGTCGATCCTTACAGGAATTAATTAATTAATCAATTAATATTTTTTTCTAAGTTAAAGGTCTTGTGAGCACTTACTAATCACAAATAATTTTATTTTTTTATCAACACAAAATTAAGGTAATATTGCCTGTTAATAAAATTTTATACTTTCATGGTAATTCTGTTTATAATATGTACTTTGTTTCGTGAATTTGCTAAAATTAGTTGTAATCCATTGCATACTATTGATAAGTTATAAAATTAGTTTTAATTAAGTAATAATATAATCCAAAGAACGGTGAGATCTTGCAGCAAGGAGCTGAGGGAAAAAATAGAATATAACAGTTTTGAATTTGTGACATAAATTGTGAAAAAATCAGTTTTAATTGAAGCCAAAAACAAATCAATCTACTTTGTATAAATTGAACAATTGCTAATTTTTAATAATATATATATATATTTAATTAATTTTTTATCCACTTTACTTCGTTGATAACTAAAAGTTAATCAAAACTGTAGATTTATCAACCAAAAGTCCTTTGTTTGTTTAATTTTCCAACCAATTCAAATCAATTGGGTCTTCATTTAATTAGGAAAAAATCATAATTTGTTAGGGGGAGGATCATGGCATTTTGAAACAAACAAATTCACATATCCTTTATAATTCAATTTTTTTGGGGGGGGGGGGGGGGGGCACATACAGAAAATGTGATTAAAAGTTTTATCATTACTATTTTTAATTCAATTTTTTTATTAAAATATACATAATAAAAATTATTAATTAATATACTATATTCTAAATTTTTATCTATAAATGATCACATGAAAATTCAAACTCAAAAATATATATTTTTTCAATGTTTAATTAAAAACAAAGTCCTAAGAATTTGTTAATAAATTTTAAAAAATTGGTTTTCTCACCACAACTTGTAAACAAGAAATAATTGCTTAAATTTCAATTTGAAGATATTTTGTTAACATGCTATGTTGTAAATACTAGTATTCATTACAATTCATGCATTATTGTGTACTACTGGGGCATCTTATTGTAAATACATGACATGAAGTAATACATTCTGATTATGTATTATTTGCAAAGTGCATTATCAAATGATACATTGTTTCAAATTCAAATAGTGCATCATTTCAAATTTTAAAAATATTTATTTTAAAAAATTAATAGGGTAATTACTTGTATAATTGGAAGCAATATTAACTGTAATATCACAATAAATGTATGTATCTTATATTCTAAAGTTACCGTCTGTCGGTAGATAGCCGGGAAGAGATGCAACGTTTCATGGAAAGCATCCGTTCCCCCCGTCCCCCATCCCTGTTCCCACCACACGTTCCCCGTTCCCCGTTCCCAACTCCCGTTCCCGTTCCTAAAAGAACGTATATGTCCCAGCCACTCTCAGGGATTCTGGACATCGAGGTTTCTAGGGCTCGACCGTTCCACCGCAGAACACTATTTTCACAACGACCGTTTCGTGATGGAACCTGTTCTCTCCAATAATATTGGGAAATTGCAGTGTTGAATTCAAAACCGTGGCATCATGTTGAACTGTTGAAAAGTTCTAGGTGGAAAAAATCGAGCTATTTTTTCTCTAACTCTGACTAATTCTAATTTTTAAAATAAAGAATAAGAAGAATAAGAAAATTTGTTTGTAATCAAATCTTTTTCCATCGTAGTTGCAATATTATATATATATATATATATATATATATATATGAAAAGGCTAGGTCGATCCATTTGATTTTTATCCAATGCAAAGCAAGGGCCCAATGCATGTGTGTGTGTGTATATATATATATATATATATATGTATGTATAATTAATGACAACATGTTTTTTTTTTCAAAAAAGATGATAGAAGTTTTAATCTTGTTTATAATTGTATTGGTACAAAGAGAAATTTATTACGAAATTTATTCTAAAATATACATTTGAGAAGAAATGATGCTTTATTTGAAATTCATTATTTTCCATTAAAATCTGTTAAAACTATAAGGTAGAATACAAAGCATTGTTTCTTGATTTACTTGGATGCCTACCGATTATTAAATTGATATTGTAGCTATGCATATGTTAAAAATATTAAGATTTTATTTATTTTATTTATTATTTTAAGATATAAGTATATAAATATATATATATATATATATACATATATATCTTTCTATGTGTGTGTTAGACTAAAGTATCCATGTGTGTGTGCTACATTGTGCATGACTTTGAAACCATTGATTTAAATCATGAAAGTGCTGTCAATTATAAATTGTAGAGATTAATGTCTTAAAATTTACTGTCAAAATACAACATATTGTATTCCCAATCTAAATCAAATGATTGGGATAAACTGTTGTATTTAAAAATAATGAAGATGATTAAATAATTGAAATGCATAACATACATTAAAATTGAACTACTGTAACCAATTTAAATTCCAAAGTTTCTATTTTAAACTCAAGATATTTTCTGCTTCTATTTTTTATCATTAAAACTAAAAAAAATCATTTTATTATATATTAGTTTATAAACCAAGTAAACACTAATCAAGATATATATGATTGGTTTTATTTTACTATATATATATATATATATATATATATTTGGAAAATTAGTTAAGAATCAGTAAACTTGAAAATTTGAATTATTTAGATTTTCTGAGATAAGATTTTTCAAATATATATATATATATATATATATATATATTCACACATGTATATGCACATAGAAAAAAAATAAATTATGAGTTGTGTTCATGTGACAATCAGCTAAATTAAAATCAAAATGTTATATACAATACAATGATGATAATAATTCATCTGGTTTTGATTTTGATTTTCTTGGTTTACTTGTGTCATGTAATAGTGTTATCTATTTTATCTAATCATTTTTTAATTTTAATTTTTTGAATAAAACTTGTATACCTCAATTACTATTCTATAAATATGTTTTATGCCTATTTTATTAAAATAAATAATCAATATTAAAATCAGAAAATTTGCAGAAGTAAATTATCACCTACACAATTTTTTTTATTTTTTTTATTTTTTTTATTTTTTTTATTTTTATCTTACTCTTAATCCAAAAAATTCTACCCTTTTTTTTTTTTTTTTTTTTTTTTTTTTTTCCATTTTTCCCTTTCTTGCTGGAGAGGAGGAGATTTAAAATAATAATAATAAAAAACTCGTCACTTTATTTGTTTACATAGTTTTTATAGATAAAAAATTTCTTTGATTTTTGAAGGACTGTTTTCTTTCAAGCAATCATTGGCTTTTGTAGTTTCTATAAAGTATGATGATTACATGGATAAATTTGACAATTTATTCCTTTTTGATAATCTTCAAAACTTGGTCAAATAAGATTTGTCATAGACTTTTCAACGACAACTCTCAACCATGCCTCCATTTTTATGAAAGTTTCCTTATTATTGAATCAATCCCAATTTAGGGTCCAAAAGCCAATTCATGTGTGTGTTTGGAGCCATCTTTCATGCCCATTTCCATTCTCTAGAAAAAACATTGTTATTGGAAATGTTCTTTTTGCAAGTTTTTAAGATCTTGAATGCCAAAGAGAAAAGACTACTTTCTTATATATATATATATATATATATATATATGTATGTATATAGCATGAGAGTATTTGAAGGAAGTGGATATTATCAAAGGTTTTAAGCAATCATCTTTTCAAATGTTTATAATAGATAAGAAGAAAGCTTCATGAAAATTGAATTGGAGTTAGTAAACAAAAGAAAAAACTAAATATCT